TTACAACCTTGGAAGTGTGTTAGTCACCTAAGGATTTCCTACACCTCCACCAGGTCCTCAGTCCTTACGGTAAATCTAAGGGTAGTACATGCTAAGGAGAACCACGAGGAATAAACTACAGAACTACCACAAGCAGTTAACATGAAGGAGGGGGCACAATGGTTTATTTTATAACTTTGTAAAACAGTTGAAAATACCTTCCACATACATCAGACTGTGCTCGGCTTCCATCCATTAAAAAGAAGTTTGCGATGAGTTTTTCCAGTAGGTTTACTTGTAAATCAAGTAAACGAATGTTTTGGAAATTGCTGGTATCAAAGTTGTACATCTTTCCAGCTTCTGCCGATGGCTTGCAGTTTCTGGTTTTAAAAGACCCGTGTTTAAAAACATATTCTGCTTATTTTACAAGGCTCTATCGGGTTCTTTTTAACAAATAACAAATCTAAACAATGCCTGTCATTTCCTAGCGAAACAGGGGCCTATGTACCACCCTGCTTTAGTTGTCATGGATTTATACTGCTTGTATCAATCTGAACATTTCAACATAAAACATGTAAGGATCTTCAAACCGGTGGGCTAATGTTCACCTTCATATCAAGCTAATTAAGTCATGTTCTGTCTTGCAGGAATCCTGTATCGCAAATCCTGCGCATCTTCTGCAGCTTGTCTCATAGCCTCTGCTGGATACCAGTCTTTCTGTTCCCCAGGGAAAGTGGACTCTGTTTGTATCAGTTGCTGCAACACTCCGCTCTGCAACGGCCCTCGACCAAAGAAGAGAGGAAACTCCGGCACAGTGCCTAGGGCAGGCATGATAACTACTATTTTGTTCCTTAAATTGGCTCTTTTTTCATTGTATTGCTAAACTTTGAGGATGCTTTATTGTCCTGGCATTGTTTGTTCTGTGTCTCCCTTTCTTCGAAGGACACTGCTCTTCTTGCTGTTTGCTTCCAAATCACTAAAGAGAAGTTTGGTCCAAGAGGGTTTTTTGTTTTTTTTTTTTGTTCGTTTTCTTGTTTGGTCAGCAGCTAATACATTCAAGTACCAGATCAAATCTCTTGTGCACTTTAAAAAACACAAAAACAAAACAAAAAAATCCTAACAACGGCACGCACGACTCTTGCTTCATTTGTGTAGTTGGAAACAAGTCTGCCAGAAATACTACTTAAGATCAACAGTTGTTTTAAGTCAGCGCTCAACAAACTTTGCCTTGCGTGGAGTCACACTTCATGTTCGTGAAGGCCATTCTGTGCCACTAGACTGGGCTCTACATTAGTCTCCAGTGGCATTTCATCCAAGTTGGGCTCCAGCAATTCAACACTCAGTTTTTGTGGACTGCAGTCAGGCTTGGTCTCATTCTGAAAAGTACTTAAGAAAACCTTGTTATTGGTCCTTGTAGAAGAATTGCGTTTTGACGACATGAAGATCAATGGACGCATAGAGCGGGCGCTGTTGGCTCTGGAATTCAAATGGGCTCGCAGGAGCTTTTGTTTGTTGGCATGCTCTACCGTCAGATGACAGCGGAGGACCTGTAGAAACACATCCCGGAACTGCTGAGAAGAGATGTTGTACAGGAGCGGGTTGACTACAGAACTGAAGTAAAAGAAAGCGTCAGCAATGGGGAGAAGGGTGATGTATGCTCTGAAGTAGGATATTGTCCAGTCTTGTTTGGGCTTAACAGCGGCCATGATCCTCCGAATCTGGTTTGGCATCCAGCATATTGCCAGAGTTGCAACAATCAGTCCTGTAAGCAAAAGGAAGAGAGAGCGCGCATGTGAAACAAATCATAAAAATATTTAGCCTCTCAGTTCTGCACTTACTGGTTAGTAAATGGTACTAATTTTTCAATGTTTTGCTTGA